CGCACATACACGCACACACACACACACACACACACACACACAGAATCCAAAGCAGGCTCCAGGCTCTGAGCCATCAGCACAGAGCCCGATGCGGGGCTCAAACTCACAGACCGTGAGATCATGACCTGAGCCAAAGCCGGACGCTCAACTGACTGAGCCACCCAGGCGCCCCAGAAGAAATTATTAATATGATTAGTTTTGTCCTGTTTCATGGGGGCCTTTTTAATGTCCCTCTTTTATCTCTCATGGCAAAATTGCCTTGTGGCCAATTAGCGAAGCAACTAAAACACCTGCTGTGGAATACCAGCCACCAGGTGGGTCGGCCTCAGCTGTGCCCCAGCAAGGACAGCCAGCCACTGGACTTCCCGTTCATAAAGCATGTGTGCACCGCAACCCTGTCTGTTCCTGGATCCCCCTTGCGAGGCTGCATGGCTATGGGTGATGGCCTCGTTTGTAAGGTGACCCGATGGAGGTTAGCCCCACACCAGCGATGCTCCCAGGATGGGCCAAGGCCCACGGGTGGCCGTGAAATCCACTCCACGGCTGCTAGTGTTCTTCTAAACACAGTCCCACGATGGCCCTGTGGGCGATTGACTTGAGAACCCAATACAACCAATGGATGGTGTCTACTGGTGTTTAAGTGAATTGCTAACTGGCACAAAAGGTCAGTTGCCACCAACTCAGATGACCAGGCTTTTCTAAAGCCTCTGACTCAGGGCTCTGCTCTTGCTGCTGGGCCGCGTGCAAATATGGGGACTCCCTGGGACTTTTGGAGAAGGACATTTTGTCATCAGGGGATCGTCATGGTTTTGATGGTGACTATAAATTACAGAACTTGCTGACATTTTGCATCACTGTGGGTTGCTTGGTGAACCTTAGAGTCAGTAGTAACGATGACGATCCATCAACAGAGTTTTGGGTCTGTGATTGTCTGGTGACACCCGGCCTTTGAGACGTATGTGCTGGGCTCAAGCATGAACCATCCATCTCTGCAGCTGGTCCGAGGGCGCCTCGCTGTCCTTCCCACTGTCCTTCCAGTGGGTGCACTGGGTGGGCCGGGGGATCTTTGATCATGCCCTACTAGCATATTTGATACCATTTGGGAACTACTGTAATGAAAAAGACATGGCTCGGGGAGGGCTGACCCACGGGGAAAACGATGGAGAACATTCCGGGATGAAATCAACCAGCACGTCCTCTTTGCCGGCCTGCTTTACACTCCCGCCCGCCCCGCGGAGGGTTGAGTCGGTTGGTAGCTGATGTTGCCGACAGGAGGGTACACCCTGCCCAATCCGTAAGACTAGGGGGCCAGCGGTGCCTGCTTTCCCTCACCTAGCAGCAAGGCAGGGCCTGGCCGATGCACGGTGACCAGATGCCCTGAGTGCTGGGGCCTGAAGAGGGTCCTGGCATGCAGGAATCTCAGTTTCAAGTCCAGGGTGAGGAGTTCCCCCTACGCAGGTTTTAAGGTCTGTTTACTTGTAACATGATAGCCTGGTCTATGCAAACTATAGATTGCAAAGTAGACCTTATTTTGCAGTTACAATACCGTAAGTACAGCACAAATGTATGTGTATCTTATGTTTATAACTCACATCCGTGACCATGTTGTCCATTAGGTAGTTCAGAGATTTGCGGATGAAATGGTCAAATTCGTCCAGGACCATGTCGTCAATGTAGTCGATGTAGTCTTTCCAGGACTGGCTCGTCGTATCTGCTCTGAACAGCTCAGCATTTTCCTGCGAACAGAACCACGCAGTCGGCTGATGCTTCATGGATTCACCTGCTCCTTCTTTAACCGACTCACTAGGGGACTCTCTGGGCTACTCTTGTCCCTGTTCACATACTCCAGGCACACGGGGTTGCTTTTAGCTTCTTGAAAGTGCCGGGCTCTTTTCTACGTCAGAGCCTTCCCACAGGCTGCTTCCCATTCTTGCCAAGCCTTCCTTCTTCTGACCTTTTAGGTTTCAGCCCAAATGTTACCTTCTCACAAAGGAAAGCCCCTCCTACCCCCCCGTTGGCCACACCCTATTCATCTCAGATTTGGCTTCTGTTCCTGCCTCTTACCTGTAATCCCTCTAGCAATCCGTTATTTGTGCCTACTATAGCACAGATGCAATCCTGAATTATTGTATTTATTTGTGTTTAGTCTGTACCTCCCCTTAATACCAAGCTACATGAGTTCATGGATTGACTGTCCTTTCCACCGCTGTACCTTCAGCTTGTGGCAGGATGCTTGGGACAAAGCAGGAGCTGGTGAATGGATGGATGGGTGGGTGGAATGATGAGTGGATGGGTGTTTGGATGGATGGATGGATGGATGGATGGATGGATGGATGAGTGGGTGGACGGATGGGTGGATGGATGATTAGATGGCTAGATGGATGAGTGGTTGGATGTGTGGATGGATGGATGGATGGATGGATGGATGGATGGATGGTTGAGTGGGTGGATGGATGGATGGGTAGACAGATGGGTGGATAGATGGATGGGTGGATGAACAGATGGATGAATCTGTAAGACACTGAGAGCTATAGGGTAAACAAAGATGAATATGGCCCAGTCCGCACCCTCAGGGCAGTTATCTTCTAATAGGGGAAAGAAGACACAGGCCTAAGTAACTTCAGCCTAAGGCAGAAAGAAATGGTTCAGATGATTATTACGTGCATCGAGGACTCTGGCAAATGGGACAACAAAGCCTTGCCCCCTCAGCTTGCTGGCTTCCACTTTTCCCAGGTTCCTATTCCCCGGCGCGCTGCCTCCTCTCTGTCCTCTTTCTGTGCCATTGTGCTGTGGACCCTTCCCTCACTCCAGCCAAATTTCTCTCTGCTTTGCCCATTTCCAACACATCTGAGAGCGTTAACAGGTTAACTGGTCAACGCTTCCAAGTAATAGGTTTGCAGCTACACATTTTAATTTAGCAGGAGCTTCTGGCACCAAGGCAAAGGGGAAGGAAGAGGGTCTGGAAACGAGACAGAATATCTTCTGATCCAGTCAAGTAACTCCACTGGGGCAATGGCCTTGTAAACAATGGCTTGACCATGAGAACAATGAGATACCCTCCTCCCTGGTGGGGCGGTGGAGGGTGGGGGCGGGTGGTGGTGCTGCGGTCTGTCTGGGTGTGGTGATCCATCACTGAAGTCCACATCCATGATTTGTACCAAGCATCAGAAAACCCAAAAACAACTGCCCTGAAAATATCTTGAGCTCAAGGTAGAATCTTCTTTTTTGGGGGCCAAGGCAGAGCTCCACCTCTCATACGTGCCTCAGAAACAAGCTAAAACGCAAGCCGGATCAAACGGCGGCCAGTGAGGAAGGTGTGAGAACCCCCGCGTCGTTGGGAACCTGGGTAGAACTTCCAGGGGCGCCAGGCTACTGCTTCTCCTTCTCCCTCAGAGTGCCCCGGCCAGGACAGAGGCCCACGGCCCCTTGAGGCTGTTGGCAACAAGGCACAACCTATGCTCGGGGCAGCCCAGCAGGTGAGTGCTCTCACATCCCCCCAGTCGGAACGTGTCGGCACCGGGACACCAGGCACACACGTTCCACATTCCTCACCCGCATTTACGTGTTTCGTCGGGAAAGCGCCAAGGACAACAGAGACACACGGCGCCTGTCCTCAAGCAGCGTGACCCAGGGAAACAAGATTTGCTGACCTTGTACGACGATGTCACTGGTCTATACCACTTTTGTGCAGGGTAGGGCATGCCGACCCCTTAGCACGGAGGAGGGCAGGCCCATAGCAAGAGAAACTCGTTAACCGAGGGTACGTTTACCATAGTCTGTCTGCTTTCTGCAAGTGAGACTCTCGGAGTAAAGAGAGTAACTTCCGTGACCACTAAAGTAATTTTTGTGACATCTCTGGCTCTCCTTCTTCTACTGAAAGTGAGTGGCCTCTCGAAGCCCCTTCTGGGCGAGTCCTTACCATGACCATGGCTTGAATCTTTACACCGGCGTCCTTGACCGCAGTGTAGCGCTTGTTGAGATTGACCATCCTTCCGTCCAAGTCCAACAGGGCCTCCTTCTTATTGTCCTTTCTCTCAAACATCGGGTTGGCCGACCAGTCCTGCAGGGCACAGGTGGGAGTGAGGAAAACATATGGGGAAAACACCTGTGGTCTTGTGCCTTCGCTGCCTGCTCGTTGATGCGAATGTCCTTGTCCCTCGGAGAGGCCTGGGGGCCCCTGAGGACACTTGAGCAGAGAGCTTAGACGGTTTGCCTAAAAGCCAGGCAGAGCCTCGGGGGGTGGGGGTGGGGGTGGGGGGTGCAGGGAGACCACTGGATGGCTCTACCTGCCTGACCAGGCCCAAGAGGAATCACCCTGGGGCAGGCATCTGTGGTGAGGGGTGTGTGGTCAGAGCTGGGCAGAGCATCCATGGCTCCGAATAGCAGGCCCAGGGGGAGGAGTCCCTCTTGTGGGGACAGCTGACCTACTGCTGGGTCGGGGGAGCGGGGATAGGGGGCTCTGACCCTCCTATAATTGGGACTTCTACTACAAGGATTCTTGTCATCGGCAATTACGATATTGATTTTGCTCTATTATCCAATAGTTAGATCTTTTTAAAAAAATTTTTTTAAACATTTTATTTTTGAGAGCAAGAGAGACAGAGTGTGAGCAGGGGAGGGGCAGACACACACACACACACACACACACAGAATCCAAAGCAGGCTCCAGGTTCTGAGCTGTCAGCACAGAGCCCAACACGGGGCTCGAACCCATGAACCATGATATCATGACCTGAGTGGAAGTTGGATGCCCAACCTACTGAGCCACCCAGGTGCCCCCTTTTTTTTCATTTTAAATTCTCATCGATACACACAGCAACAAAACACTGAGTGGGAAAAGTTTCTGGACAAAACCCACACCCCCTTGGCCCCATGTCTTCCTGTCTCTCCATCCTGGTCCCCACTGGAAACTTCGGTTGCCCCAGCACTCGAGATGGTTTGTGGGACTCTCTGTGTCAGATTGAGTCATGTCTAGACCGTCTTGTGACTCGAGTGTGAGCAACCAAGGTTTAGCTCACCTGCCTCTCCCTTCTCCCCAGTATTTGAGAATTACATGCGCCTTATTTATTTTTTTTGCATTATTTATTTCAGGTCTAATAGACTGACTTGAATTGTTTTCTTTTCCAATTACTTGGTTTCCTCATGCAGCCGGGGAGTCAGATACTATTTACTGTCTTGTTTGGGTTGCTGTTTTTGGATGGAGTAATCCGTGTGAGGGCCTGGGCGAGCCAGACCCCGTTTCTGCACCCAAACCCTGAGTGAGGTGGCCCTCCATCCACCCCCTCCCTTCCGGCCGGGCTGCAGCTTCTGAATGGACGTGTAGAGGACACGGCTGGGGGCAGGGCCCTGAGGCCAGCACGAGGGGCCCGGTGACTGCTCCCCCTGTAACTGAGATTAATGTGGGAGGTGAGAAGGCCCAGCCAGGTGAGATGGGGCCCCTCGATGGGATTAGTGTCCTTATAGGAAAAGGCAGAGAGACTAACTGTGTCCTCACCATGTGAGGCAGGAAAGGGGCCCTCGCCATCAACTACGGCTGACGGCACCCTGATCTTAGACCTGCAGCTTCCAGAGCAGAGCCGAGCGAACACGTGCTATTGGAGGCTGAGATGTCGTGTTACGGCAGCCAGGCCAATGTGCCCACCCCCCCTCCCGCTCTGACACAGAGGGCGCAGTCAGAACGCACTTCTGACCCCAGCAAGCTCAGAGCCAGGGGAACCAGCATTCCTGCTGTGCCCCGGTGGAGAACGTGGAGACTGGCAGAGCTCCCGAAGGGGGTACCCGTGAGACACTGAGCAGGTACAGAAGATTCGGCCTCTTTGGGACAGGAAGCACTTAACCAAGTCTGGGGAGCGTTAACAAGAGGAGACACCTGTCCAGAAGCACTGCGGGGGCATTTCTGAGCCCCGACGGTGACGAAGAACTTTACGTGCCTACAGAGAGAGCAGGGGCACCCACAGGACAGTCACACCATCGCCAGCCTTGTCAACGTGGGCCTGGGAGACAGGGACTGTGACGGCTGAACCGTGTCCCCCAAATTCACAGGCTGAAGCCCGGATCCCCTGGTATCGTGGGACGTGTCTAGAAAGGGGTCTTTAAAGAGCTGGTGAAGGCAAAATGGGGCCATTAGGTGGGCCCGAGCCCAGTATGACTCATGTCCTTATAACAAGGGGAGATCAGGACACAGACATGCACAGAGGGATGACCACATGAACACACGGGGAGGAGACGGCCCTCTGGGAACCCAGGACAGAGGCCTCTGGAAAACCACCCCGACGGCACCCTATCCAGACGTCCTGCCTCCCAGACTGTGAGGAAATGAACTTCTGCTGTTTAAGCCGCCCAGCCAGCGGGCTTTGTCAGGGCAGCGCGAGCTCGCTGATACACAGATGTCTCTAGACTGTTGAAAGGAAAGGACCGTATCAAAAAAATCGCTCACCTGGACAGGACAGCTGCAGGTGAGGTCAACAGAGACAGATTTTTGGACAAGCAAGGACCCACTAGGTCATCAATGCACCTTTCCTGCCCGCAGAAACCACCTGAAGAAATGTTCCACTCAAGCGACAACCGAGCAATGATCCCGGTCTACAGTTTATGGAGTAAACCCAAGCGGGTGTTGGTGAGCCCCTCCCTCCCTACCTCTCAAAAATAAACATAGAAAAGAAAAAAGAGAAAAGAAAAGAAAGTTCACACCATGACAAAGGAGACTCAAAACCAAACGATGGCCGGAGTCAGAAACGTGAAACTCTTCCAGCTCAGACATTTGCAGGAAGGTGGCCGGAGGAGGCAGAAGATCTGAGGTCCCATGGGTGGGGGCATGATGGGCAGTAAAACAGAATGTGATTAATCTTGATATACCGATGGAGAAATAGAGCTTAAACATGATTGTTTTAAAAATGAAATGGAGTGGGGCGCCTCCTGGTTGGCTCAGTCAGTGGAGCACGTGATTCTTAATCTCAGGGTCATGAGTTTGAGCCCCACGTTGAGCGTAGAGATCACTTAAAGAAATAAACTTAAAAAAAAAATGGAGTCATGTAGTAGACTGTAAATTAACGAGGCAGGGCAGTTCAAGCTCCACTTTGGATGTGTCACTGCAGATGTCTCTCTGCACGTTAGGGCCTTGATGACGGACCGTGGGGAAGCTAGTGAAGGAATTCGCCCCCAGTTTCCTGGATTGGGCTTGAGTGAAAGTCAGCTCGGTGCCTCCCTGAGCGGAGCTGAGTCTCAGGGTACCTTCCTGCCCCCTGTTCCCGGTGCCTTCCCGGCAGAGAGAGGACCCTACAAGCACTCTTGCCGAGCTCAACAGAACGGAACAGAATTGAATTCTGCACCCTGGCCTGGGACTTCTCTGCCTCGGGACCACCTTGACATCGTTGTGCAGTCCAGAGCCTCACACAACAAGTTCCTGCTGCCTTCGGGACTCTCTGTGAACATCTCCGCGGGTGCCTTTTCCCCAGGACCCTCTCCTGGGCTTCCGGTTAAGCCCTGCTCTATAATACCTTGCTGCTTACTCACCTTCATGGCCTGAGAAATTCCATCTATATTTTGCTTGGCTTTTTGCATCCTGTTCTGCAAGTTATGTAGAATTTCTCGCAAGTCTTGGATATACTCTAACACACCTAAAATATAAACATCAAGGAATATAACGAAATGAACAATTCAGAACAGTGAAAAGTCTTGGGCAGGCTTTCACGCTCATCACTGCCAGACAGCGCTTGGAAAACATGCCCGCTGCTCATCCAGAGTTCTCCAAACGCAATGTTGACAGATGATGCACACAGCGTCTGTTCGGAAGCAGGACTTCCCTATCCCCAAATAGGTGGGTCATCAGTTCTCGGGCCCCCACCCCCTGAGGGGACCCCTCGCGCCCCTGCCCCTCCAACCACCAGCAGGGCACTGGAGACACATGAGCATGGTGACAGGTCTCAGCGTCCTGGGCCACAGCGGCTGGAAAGAGGTGCGTCCTTGGGCCACAGTGAGAAGCAGTGTATCTTCTCTGCACGGAAAGTCCAGGCCAACCCCGGCTGCAGGGAGGTGGACGGTCCCACCTTCTAATTGAGACAGTGGAGACAGGATATGGCCAAAAAACGGCCCAGGGCAAGTTGCAGGCTTTGATAAAGGAGACAGCCTTGGTGGTGGTGGCCACCCAGAGGTGGGTCCAGAGGGGAGGGACATCAGGGGGGAAGGCTTCTGCCTGCTCCCGTGGTGGGAAGAAGGGACTCTGTGAGCACACTTCTTTCTGCTTCTCCAACACCTGCCCAGGAAACCACCAAAGAGCCCCAGGCCCCAAAAGCCCACTGTGAAAACCTTGGGACCCTTGGTGTTCCCCGGAGGGGTCTTTGCCTGATTCCATTTGTAAGTGACACAAATGGGCTCTTTGGGACAGGGCAAGCAGGTGGAACTCTCCGATGGCCTTTAACATAACCCCACTGGAGTCAAAGTGGACCCACCCAACCGGGAGGCAGAAGCAGCCATTTGCAAGTGTCATAGGACAGACGCTGGACAGGGAGGACATCCCCCCCACCCCGCCCCACCGCCATTGATCTGCTGGTCACCCTCCCAGTGAGACAAACATGGCCTCAGTACCTTCCCCGTTCCAGAACAGCGTTGTTTCAGCAGTCAATAACTTGACATCGATTGCTTCCAGTTCTGACTTTATTAGTGGAAATTCTACATCCATCACGGTGGTCTTTATCTGCAACACAAAAGCTACAGTCTTAGGGTCTTTGCTCCAAATCCAGCCAGATTTTAAATGGTCTCATGGTTAGGGTTTTCTTACCCATTACCAACCAAACCAATTACAACTTGTGTCATTTAATTGGGAATTACGTATAATTCAAATTCCAGGAGATTTCAGCTTCTAAAAACTACTTTTATCACCAAGGATTTATGTATGCACTTAACTCTTGGCTACCTACGGAATGGGGTAGAAACAGAAGGAAAGGTGATAATGGGACAATAATGAGTGTGTAATCCAAAACTGTTTTTATTTGGCTTAAAATCATACAAAGAAACTCAGAGAAATGGACACGAGTAACTGAAGCAGGTCGGGGCTCAGAATCTCTCCTTGGTCATAAACCCCAAGCCTGCAATTTAGGTATATAAAGGAGATCCAGGGGGTGCCTGGGCAGTGTGTGTGTGTGGCAGGGCGTGGTGGGGGGGGGCCGTGCTCAGTTGGCTAAGCATCCGACTCGATTTCAGCTCAGGACACGATCTCGCAGTTCATGAGTTCAAGCCCCACATTGGGCTCTGCACTGACAGTGTGGAGCCTGCTTGGGATTCTCCCTCTCTCTGCCCCTCCTGTTTGCATGTTCTTTCTCGCTCTCAAAATAAATAAACTTTAAAAAATAAAAAAGGAGGGGTGCCTGGGTGGCTCAGTTGGTTAAGCGTCCGACTTCCGCTGAGATCATGATCTCACGGCTCGTGAGTTCAAGCCCTGCATCGGGCTCTGTGCTGACGGCTCAGAGCCTGGATCCTGTTTCAGATTCTGTGTCTCCCTCTCTCTGCCCCTCCTGCCCCCCATCATCCTCTGTTCTCTCTCTCAAAAATAAACAAACATTTAAACAATTTTAAAAACAACTAAAAAAAAAATAGAAAAGGAGATGTAGGATCTACAGGGAAGCTATTCAAGCTGTTTGTGAATCAGAGCACTCATCCAGGTCCTATATAGTGTTGATACACTTCTACCCTGCTCTAATAGAGAAATTCATTTAAGGCTTGGAAAAAACATCAATTCACAAAACAGGAGGAAAAAGGAGAAGGAGGGTGTATACAGTTTTTACAAATTATTCCTTTATTTTTTAACTTTTTAAAAAATGTAATGTTTATTGATTTTGAGAGAGAGAGAGAGAGAGAGCGAGCGAGCATGAGCAGGGGAGGGACAGAGAGGGAGGGAGACAGAGTCTGAAGCAGGCTCCAGGCTCTGAGCCATCAGCACAGAGCCCGATGCAGGGCTCGAACTCACGAGCCGTGAGATCATGACCTGAACCGAAGTTGGACGCTCAACCAACTGAGCCACCCAGTCGCCCCTGTAAATTATTCCTTTAAATGACAAGCACCATTGGAGTCTTGGAATGTCCTTTTACCTAGCAACATTTTTATTTTATATAACTTTTCAAGGACACTTGTACTTTATAAAGTGAGGGATGCAAAACAGAGTTAAAATCGTACATTAAACGCTGACCACTCTTGCCTTTCAGAATAATCCCTCACATTTATTTGGTCCTTTTACGTGCCCCCCCCCCACCTCCCTGCCACCCCTTTCTGCTGACCTCCGCCCTCAGGTGTTTTCATGTGGTTCACTCTCTAAGCAGGTGGGTGAGGCCAGAGAAGTAAAGCTTACAAACCTATCACCGATAGAAACAGGACGGAAAGAAGAGAAATTCCATCTATGGAATTACAAAGCGAGTGAACGAGAAGGTACCGATTCCACTCATCAGAGTTTAGATACGAAATAACTATAACGGGCCTTGGTCCCCTCCCAATTACCCGTGCTGTGGCTTTGAGAACATATCCCAAGTGAGATCGTTTCATAGCACGCCTCTGTGGTGTGTTTAGTCACTAAGTCCTGTGACTAGAGTTCAGCGGGGAACCCTTCACACAGAACTTCTCCAGCTGGGAAAGGTGCCGAGTTCCTGATGACTGCGTCACGGGCAGAGCCGGGAGGTATGTCCCGGGCTCCGAATCCAAGGCCAGCCTGGCCGGGGCCGCCTCAGGCTGCGCGTCCCGTCCACGACGCACGTGGACACTCAGGGCCTCAGGAAGGCCGTTCGTTTATTGCCTATTTTCCGTAGTAACCGCCCAGAAAAGTAGCCACTATGTCTGTCGTATTTGCCAGAGTAAACAGAGCCCACGGCGATGAGATCCACGTAAGGATACGTCCGTCCTGTGTATTTTTTAAGAGCCTATGTTATAAACCCACGCCTTTAGGGTGCTGTCCTCAGAAGTGTGACCTGGGGAAAAAAACACACTCGGGCGGTCCCTCGGATACCCCAGCAGACTCCTTAAAGCACCGCGTGCCCCTCTCTGGCTCGGACACTAACAGACCTGAGCCGTCTGCAGGCCAGTGGTCTCTTGCCAACAGAAAGCACGAGAAGGACGAGAAGGGCCCGGCACGTCTCTAAAGAGGGGAATCCGCGTCAGCAGCGAGCGTCTCTAGCTCCAGGCCTCCTCACCCTAACCCAACGTTTGTATCAGCAGAGGGACAGAAGAGGGACAGAAGAGGGACAGACAGCATCCGTAGCCGGAGCGAACGTGCCGCTGGCTTCTTGAGTTGGAGAGCAGTGGGCGTGGCTGGGTTTCGTGTGGAAATACAGAAGTCAAAGACGGGCTCTTTTTTTTACGCTTATTTATTTATTTATTTTGAGAGAGCGAGCGAGCAAGCAGGGGAAGGGCAGAGAGAAGGGGAGAGAGAATCCCCAGAAGGTTCCACGCTGTCAGCACAGAGCCTGATGCGGGACGGCGCACATAAGCGAGCCACCTACAATTTTATCTTGAGAAACGCGATTAACGAAAACGAGCTTCCTTCAGTTTCCACTGACCACGTCTTCGGTGACGTTACCACCGTCACACGCGTCACCGCGTGGCGGCGGTATTTCTGACAAATCGACGTGACGGCCCGAGCCGGCCCGCTTCACTTCGCGCTCGACTTTGCCAGCATGGTCACGAAGGGGGTCACCTCCACCAGGAGCGGGGGGCTTCCCGGGTCTCCCCAAGGCCTCTCTCTTAATCTTCGGATATTCCGACTCTTCTCTTGGTTGGCACCAGATTGCTGGGCTCGGTCCAGCACACGGTGTGATCTGGCCACCGTCTCCTACAGGAGAGGTTGGCTAAGCACGATCTGCTATTCCAGAAACACCCTTCGGACTCAGCATTACTGCTGCCATTTTCTTAGGTCCTAGGAGGGAGGTGCAGGGCGTGCCGTGCTCCAGTGAATACCAGCTCACATGGAACCTGGGGAGGTTGCTGGGGAGGGACGGACAGCAGGTGCAAACGCTCCCCTGCCCGTGCGGGATGGACCCGGGCATTTGGTACAGGACTCCTGCAAGACAGGCGAGGGAAGGCAACAGAGGCACGGCCCTGCGGCTCTAAGAAAGGGGCCCTCGGCTCAGGAACCCATGAACAGAGGCATCTCTTGGGCGGATCTGAGGCACAAAGCACAAGAACAAAAATGGAAACGTTCCAGGCCCCAGACGGTGCTTCCCGTCGGGGGGCAAGCTCGCTGCGAGAACCGTGAACCTGCCGTCGGTGGCTCGAGTCTCACGAGAGTGCAGAACGAGTAAGGTTACCAACAGGAAATCCACAGACGTGGACGCATCTGGGGGGCCCAAGGGGATGGGACCAGCAAAGTCCACGTTCAGGCACCTCCTTGGACTCTCGGGGCCTCTCTGGCCACGGGCTGAGCTGCCTGTTCCCTTCCTTCCACAGCCTGTGCTTCTGTCCTTCTCCGTCTCTCTGTGACTCCCACGTGAAGGAGGCTGGCAGCCAATTCCAAATTCCCAGGGCTCCAAGGAGAGGGAATCTTGGTGGCCCCGTGGATCAGGCGGGTGTGGTGGGCCAAATGGTTCTCCAAGGACGTCGGCGTCCTAGTCCCTGGGATCTGCGACCGTCCCACCTTACCCGGCAAAAGAGAATTTGCGGATGAGATTCACTTAGAGACCGGTAGGTGGTCCAGAATTATCCGGGCGGGCAGGCCCAACGCAATCACAAGGTCCTCGTGAGAGGGAGGCGAGAAGGTCGGAGGGGAAGAAGGGACGTAACAAAGGAGACAGAGGCCGGAGGGGTGTCGTCTGACGGCAGAGGGACGCGGAAGGCGGTGGCCTCGAGGAGGCAGGCGAGGAGGCGGCTTAGCCCGCCAGGAAGCGGCCCGTCTCTGATTTCAGCAGAAGGAAGCAGATCTTGGACTTCTGACCTCGGAGCCGGAAGAGAGTAGACGTGTGCCGTCGGAAGCCACTGCGTCTGTGGCGGCCTGTGGCGGCCACCCCAGGAGGCTCACGCAGAGCCCACGTGCAGCCTCGTCCGCCACAGCCTGGGCAGGAGCAAAGGTCATGTGGCCCCAGCGGCAGCGTCTTCTGGGGTCTGTGTGGAAAGGGATGCCCGCCATGGCCCACGGCGACCCGAGTCCACGCCTCCCCGCGTCCCCTTCTGATCTCGGATTCAGCTTCCGGGGGCTCTCATGCCAGGAAGGAGGTGTGTAGAACAAACAGCCCCGGAGCCGGAGGCCCCGGCCCCCGGGGCCGGTCAGTCACTGGGAGCCCTGATTCGGAACCAGCCTCTGCACGACCACCTGTGTGAGGTCCCCAGATCTGGCGGAAGAGGACCTCTTGCTCCACAGAGCACAGGTGGACCTGTCCCCTCCCAGGTCCCGGTCCAGCCTACCCCGAGGCCAGCTCCCGCCCTCCACCTCTTGGGTCACAGGGTCGCTGGGAAATTTGTAAACCCGGCTGGATTCCAGGAGACGCCCACCCCGCCACACCCCACTGGGAGTAACGGAATGACTTTGAGATTCCCCAAGGGCAAACTACGTTTAGGAGAGTACGGCGCCTCTAAGCAATCGCGGGACGGAGGCCAACGTCCAGTGGAAGTAAGGTTTCCATCACTGGCTGTTCCGTCGCCATCTCTGCCGCTGCTGTCTGGGTTGATGGCGGAGTGGCTCGAGCCACGTTGTAACAAGAGGGGGTCCTCACCTCCTCTACTGCGCTTGGAGACCCTACCCCTTTGTTTGTCCTAAACAAAACCCGAAACTCGGCAAGTAAAACCAAACTACACCAGCTCACCTCGTTGTACCAGACAACGATGAGTTCCAAGTTGCCCACAAACTTCCGGAAGGTCTCATGCTGTGAGAACAGATCCTCGGCACTGCTTGGGATCTCTTTTTGCTGCTGGAAACCCAGGTACTTGACCTCTCTCAGAACTGCCACCAACTAGGGCCAATGGAGATCACAGAAAAGGTCAGGGCGCGACCCCAACGGTACGGCCCTCAGCAGCGCAGGTGAAGGGCGCTCCCAGGTCACTCCCCGTCCTGGGCGCACGGTCTCCCGTTGGCATCCAGGACACCAGGCTCTCCCAGTCACCGCCATCAGGCGGTACTTTGACGCTTTAGAGGTTTGCATGCTGAAGACTCCCAGGGTGTGCGCCCTCTCGATCGCTCTCACCTCGGCGACCTCACCCAACAGCGCGGCTTTAAGAACCAGCCACGTGTGGGTGGCACCACACACAAGTTTGTGTCCCCAAGCCAGACCGCTCTCCCGACCCTCGGACTCCCGTATCCACCCGCCCACGCAGCGTCTCCATTCGCGCGTCCAGACGACATCTCAAGCCCAACGTGGCCAGAACAGGCTGTCTTCCCCTCAGCCTGCTCTGCTCGCCGCCTCCAGCTGATGGCAGTTCTGCCCCTCCAGTGGGCCAGCCCAGAGCGGCTGGGGCTCAGGCTGTCATCGTCAAAGACTCTATTTCCAACCCGTCCGAGCCCCACGGGCTCTGCAGCCAAAAGCCATTCGCCCCTCACACCTTCGTCGCCGACACGCTGATCTGGGCCACCACCATCTCATGGTCTCTCTCCCGGATTATGGCAAAAGGCTCCTCCTAGCTGGGCTTCCTGCCCCTGCGCCTGTCCCCGCCCCCCGTCTATTCACACGTGGCACCTAGAGGGATCCCCGAAATATACAAACCACATCGGGGCACGTCTGTCCTCGGAAACCCGCCACGGCAGCCACGTCACTCGGCACACGAAAACCCAAGTCCCTCTGCTGGTCCTGGAGGCTCTCGGTGCCCTGTCCCCCGCCCTCCTCCACCCCTCCCTTCACCTCCTCTTCCACTCCCCTCCCCAGCCCTTTGCTCACTCCACCCCGACCCCAAACCCCACTGGCCTCCCCGCTGCC